GGGGGGGGGGGGGGGGGAGCCGACAGAAGAACTTTGGAAGTCTGGGCCCACAATGGTGTTAACACTTGTAGTGAAAGGGGGAAGGCAGCGAGCACCTCCCACCGGATACTAGACACTCTGAAGGGGGCACAATCAACCCTCGGTCCATTCCAGACAACGAGGTTTGGAAAGAGGCAACCAGTGAGGCACAAACATCCTCCAACTCTCTTCACTTCCTAGGGCACCTCCAGAGAGATTTTTGCCCTGCCGACACCCCCCCCCCACCTCCGCAGAGCATCAGATCCCACCCTCGCACCAGCAGAGACCAATATTTGGAATCCCCGAGGCTGATTTTGCAACAAACTGGAAGCTCTTCTGCGTTGTTCTCCTGCACCAAGTTCATTCTGCCAGCTTGCAAAAATGAAAAGAAGGAGCAAACAGCCATACAGCTTTTTACTAAACCTGGCCAGTTGGGAGCCTCCAAGAGGCTGCTGTAGAAGAGGGAGCTCAGAGAGGGACAGAATGAGGCCACTCTCCAGAGCGAAGCCCTCCCCGTCACCACTGCCTCTGAACCACCCGCCATTTGCCCTCCCTGCTTTGGTGGCATTGAGCTCTTTCCTCTCAAGATGCCCATTTGCCAGCCACCAAGGCAGGATACGATTTTCTGTATCCTCTGAGCTGGGATGGAGCCAAGGGCTATGCAAGAGCCAGCTTCCTGAATGAGCAAATCATCCTCCAAAACGACCAGGCAGCAACCCCAACGCCCGTCCTGCAGAGCCTAAACCCATGAGCATTCCTTCTACACCCCGTGGCCCCAGGAGGACGACGAGGGAAACGGTGCTGGGAGCCAAGGCACACAGACAAGCAGCAGGACCAAGAGAGGGGGAGCCAAATCACCAACAGGCACGTGATTACTCTCAGGGAAGCCCTGAGCAGTGCAATGAGCCCCCCACCCCCCAAATTGCTAGCAGTTTGCCTTTTGCACAAAAGCAGGAGGAAAAAGGAGGAGAAATCTGAGCACTGTGGAACATCTGGGGAGAGAGAAGCCACCCTATCCTCAACCATCACAAGGAAAAGAGCATCTTCCCCTGAACTGGGAGGGGACACCATCCCCTTCTTCTGACTCTCCCCGTCCCCACCACCCCTGCCGCCACACCAGGACCCACTTCCCTGCCAGGGATTCGGGCCAGGGGTTCCCAATCAGGAGTGGGGCCCGTCACCATAAAACATCACTCGCTTCGTTGGACGACGGCCTTTCCATCTTGTGTCTCAGGTGCTTCCATCCAGACCCATCCAGCGGTGATGGAAGTAGTTACCCATCCTTTGGGTAACAAACGGAGGAGGTCAGCTCCACCTTACGGTCCCGGCCAGGTGATAAGAAGGCAAGCAAGGGCAAGAGATGCTTGCAAACACCGAACTCTCACCAAAAAACCAACCAACCCATAACTGCTGCTGAAACCTCTGCATCTCCAAGTCAAGAATGACTTAGAGGCCTTTTGTTGAATGGATCTATACCCTACTTTGCATCCAACCCTTTATATTTGGATCTCTGGCTTGTCATAAAAATTATTCTTATTCTTAGTTGTCCTCATAGGATTGGCATCCAGGGTGCGACAGCCACCCCTCCTTTTTTTGATTCCACAAATTTCTGTTTGGCACTTTTCTAAGCCATGCCAATCCTGTTGACCTTTTTGAACTGCCATCTAGCTTGAGGTCTAACAAACATATTTTGTTATTCCCCTCACCATCTCCTTGGTCCACCCATCTCCATTTGAATCATGCTATATGTCTTTTCCCCTTCAAGGATGGCTGCCTTGTCGTGGTGAAGGGGCTTGAGTCATTCAGAGAAGCGATGGGCTGTGCCGTGCAGGGACACCCGAGACAGACAGGTCATGGTGGAGAGTTCTAACGCAACGCGATCCACTTGCAGCAGGAACTAGCAAGCCACTCCAGGATCTTTGCCAAGAAAACTCAATGGACAGAAACAAAAGGCTAATGTCATCAAAGTGACCAACATGAATTTGGCCAAACTCCAGGAGGCCGTGGAAGACAGGAAGGCCTGGCACGCTCTGGTCTATGGGGTCACCAAGAGTTGGACACGACTTAACGACTAAACAACATTTGTCCTTTGGCGTTTATTATTTTCACCTTTTGTCAAATAATATCCCCCCTTTACGAGCCGGCTCACGTGCTAAGATCTCCAGGGAATGCCTTTCTCTTGGTCCAGCCACCTTCACAGGTGTCTTTAGTGGAGACGCAGGAGAAGAGCCTTCCCTGTTGAGTGTTTTGCAGGCTTTTCTGTTATGGATTTTGTTACGAGCCCAGGAATGTGCAGCAGAGGTCAGAACTGGCGATACACATGGATTATACACTAATCTTCTTAATTCTAAAGGAATTTTTTAGGTTGCAAGAATTTTTGCTTTGCTTACCAAAAGCAGACCACGTAAAACGGTTTACTAGTGGTTCCTTACTCCCAGCCAGAATGCTGGGAATAAATAATGGAATCTGATAGACACAAAGGGGGTGGGCTGCTCTGTTTAGATTTTTAGTTGCCATTTCCTATACTCAGTCTCGGCCCTTCCTCCCTTTTTTATGAGGACATAGCAACACAAAAGAGGGGGCTTCACAGGGCAGCTCCAGCAGCGTCCGGTGTCCAGTTCTGGGTGCTGGGCAGGTGACTAATGGCCTACTACCTATTTCTGCAGCATTGAGTGAAAGCATTCCTCTGGAATGGGAGAATCTACTGCAACATGTGGCCAAAAGATGATCTGTAAGGTTCTGCAGTGAAACAAAATGTCTTTGGAGCCCATCATGCAAGTAACTAGGATCAGCCAGACTTTGCAGGTTTTCAGACACAGATTCTGGCTTATTTGCAACCAAAATGAAAGAGAATATTCGCCTGCAGCCACTTAAACTGAATACTAGCAGTGAGTGCGCACCAGATTGCAACGCAAATCTATAATTCTGTACCTACTTTCCTGGGACTTGCGAGCAAATCGCAAGTGAACTTCATAGGAGGTATTTCTGAATGCCTCCGTCTGAGATCATGTGTGTGACCTCCCTATTCACATATGCAAGGTGATGTATTGCAGAAAGCAGAGGAGTGTCCACCACTTGACCAGCGGTTCTTCTGCCTGGCTTATAACAAAAGATGAGCGTCAGCTCTCCTCCTGGATTTGATTCGTTACATCAGGGATGAAAGATGGATGGCTGATGAGCAACAAGAAAGCGAGCGAGACACAGGCATGAGTCGCTCAGTCACCCTGCGCTCTTGGCTGTGGGTGTCAACCTCCACAGAAATGACATTGCATATTCCACCACACCTTAAGCCGTTCAAATAACCAGACACGCCTAAGCAGGTGTGTCTTGCTTTTTTGGCAGTGAGAGCCAGTGTGTCATCAGCGAAACGGGTCACTGGGCCGGCAGTGGCCCCTCTGAGCAAGGCCGAATCCTGCTTCGACCCACAGCAGGGAC